GCCGCTGCAGCACTCAGAGCTGGCTGCCCGCCCGCCGCCCCATCCATCTCCCACGTCTTGCAGCCTGCCTGCAAAGTGTTGAACCACTTCTCTTTGATAATTGTTCAATTACAGAATGTATCCGATGACTTTTGTTACCGAAATCCGACTTCCCTTTCTGCCGACTCAGCTTAGCTCTCTCTGAATGTACATCCAGAGCTTGCTGGGTTTAAAAACAATGTGAATTGTCCCAGCTCTTTGCTAGTCGAATGTTATCTCAAACAGATGCCATCTGAGTAGGAAGCCAAGCCACAATCCATCCTGTGAAGTCACCAAACCGCATCACAAAACAATTTTTGCAAATTTGGATATGGCCTTTGCAAAATCCACCTTTCTCCAAGTCCACAGCTGAGGCGTGGTCTGTACATTTCCCAATGCTGACGAGATGTTCACATTCTCTTATGTGTAGATAGTGTAAAACAGGCGAATGTAAATGTTCAACATAAAAAGTGGATATATAAAATGGAAAGTTATTTATTTATGTAGAGGAAAAAAAAAATATCTGGAGGGACTGGAACCTTCAGGGTTTATTAATATTTAAAAATGTAGCTTTTTGTTTCAGGCATTATGTACAAAGCAATTATTTTATGGACCAAGTTTAATGTAACTGTCAATGAATGCAGAAGTGCAATATGATACTCACCTCTCCATCACTTCATGTTTTAAACAGCTACTAACCAGTTAGACTGACAATCACAGCACTGCCGTCCTCATCCTTTGTTGAGCTTCTTGAAACCTGCCCAGGTCCTTTCCCTGGCCCCTCATCTGCTGCCATCGTACGGATCCAACACGGAGAAGCAATTGTAGAGCAGGACCCTCATTGCTGCAATAATACCAGATGAGGTGGGTGTAGTTACCAGGAAATATGCCAGTAAGGGGCTTGGGTTTTTTCTCCACCGGTTCAGTCCATCGTAGTCTGCATCGATCTATCCTCAGCCGCCCCCATCTGGCACTCATCTATCTGAAGCAAAGATCAACGTGCTACTCACTCAAAGAACAATAGCAATAGTTTAACTCTGTGTTTATAACCTGTTTGTCCCGAGCTGTTTTGGAGAGCAATGCATGTGACCCGATGCCTTTCCACGTCTACGGAAGAGGATCCGTTTGGATGCAGTGAGGGAGAGCTGAATGTATGTTCCATCCCGACTAAAGGGGCACTGTCAGGTTACAGACCTACTTTATCTTTGTTACAAATAACTTGTTTGCTTCCAAACGACAGAACACGAAGTTGGTTGTGCTCCTCCCTCTCGCCGTTGTCTGGGCAGCCATGGGCCCGGCCGGCTTCTGCTGCAGCCCACGTCCTGTTCTTGCACACTAGCACAATACAGCCCGTGCTGCACAGGCTGCCTCGGCCTTTTTCTTTTTTTTTTTTAATTGTTTCCATGGGAATCAAACTCTGCTGTGGAGCTCAGACTTTTTATAAAAAGCAGCTTTTTGTATTACTGCGCTCTTGGGCCAGACTTTCTACCTGACGCTGTCCCTTTAAAGTCTTTTACAAACAGAGAGAGGAGCCCGTGCATTCCCTCTGAGTTGTTTTCCTGGGTTTGCTAGATCCCTCGGTCAGATGAGGCGAAATCCTAATACCAAAAACACGTTTACAGTGTCCGATACAGGAGCCAAGAGCAGTAACTAGCCAAAGGGTCACCGACAAACTCCCGCTCCGCCAGCAGCCGCCGTGCTTGCTGTAGCAGCCCCTTCTTCAGGTATCACCACCGTTTGCTGCATTTCCTCTTAGTTCTAGAAGCCTTACTGTCCCCCCCCTGTCCTCGGCACCCTCTGCCCATTGATACCCTCGACTGTCAGTTTTCTATTCCAACGATGTTCGTTATCTTTTATTTATACAAAGTGGCTCCAGGGGTGACAGGGGCGCGGGGGAGGCCCGAGGGCACCCCCTGCCTGTGCAGAACCCTGCCCACCCCTCGCCTGTGTGTGACAAACCTTCTGTACAACTTCCTTCTCCTCCTTGCTGTTAGTGCATCGTTCCAATGGGTGTGCTTTGTGTACAGTATCATTGTGAGTTACACAGATTAAAGAAATGGGAAGGCTCTTCTCTGTCTGCTTTTTTTGGGGGAGGGGAGATCCTAGAAACAGACAAGTCACAAAACCCAAGACGTGAGCAGGTGCCAGTTTAATGGGGTTACAGCGATGAACAAATGTGGAAACCTTCCATGCAGACTAGTTCTGCAGAACCCATTTGTCCTTTAACCCATTTATCCCTTCTTGTTGTAGGTTTGGGTGGTTTTGTTTTTTGTTTTTTGTTTTTTTTTACAGTTTGTAGATGTATGGACTTTGCAGTGAGGGGAAAAGCTGTTTGCTTCACAGCAGCCATGGGCATGGAGAAGCCCAGAGCCCCAGCACCACCCAGGGCCTGTGCTGCAGGGAGGGGACACAAGTCACATGCAGGAGCAGACAGCAAGGCAAAGACCCCCTCTACAAAGCACATCTCCCTGCACCCCAGCACAGGGGGCCGGGTTAGTGCTCCCCTGCTGCCACCCAATGAGATGACACTGCAGAAAGGCTCAGCCTGCAGCACCAGGTAGGCACGGGGCACCCGGATCCAGCAAGGAAAGGGCCAAGAGCAGCCCCTGAAAGGAAGTGGTGGCAGCCAGCAGAGTATTCTGAGCCCCAGCACCCACCCTGTCCTGGCTGCAGCATTTGCTCCTGCTCGCCAAAGCCCAGAGGAGATGGGGAGCTGCACCCTGAGGTGCTCCATGCCTGTGAGGCTGTCCCCTGGGTGCTGCTGAGCTCCTCTGGCCTCAAAACGGGGCAAGCAGGTCTATGTGTGTCACAGCCACACTGGCCCCAGGCAGGAGAGGGAGAGGAAAAGCTGTTTACTGGGAGCTGAACCATTAAAGTCACTCTCCTTCCCAGTCAGTAACTTACGGAGCGGCTGGAAACGGCCCCTGGGGAAGTGTCTTGACACGGGGCTGTCCGCAGGGTCCAGAGGCTCCCAGCATGGCTGGTGCTCACTGCAGCATCCCCGTCCTCACCTGGAAGGCCAGCCCGTCCCCCCGCGTGGCTTGCTGCAAAGGAAGGGATGCTGAGGATGAAGAAGCACCAGCACCCACCCGCGGGGACCCCCACAGAGCTGCCAGGGCTCGGTTTGCCCTGGTGGAGTCAGTGGGGTCCCCAGGGGGGCAAGACAAGACCTCAGGGTGAGGCAGCTCCCCGGCTCTGTCCACCCACACACCAGCAGCTCGTGCTGGTGGACAGTCCCCACTACCTTGTTGATCTCCTTGTGTCTCTCCTTGGTGACAATTTCTTCTAGCACTTCTCCATCTCCCTTAATAAGCCTGGAAGACAACCACAGGCCATGAGCCATGAGGGCTACCAGCAACTAAGAGCATCTCCTGCCACCCCACCCTCTGTAGGCTTCACTGTCAGCAGCAGCAGCCCCAACCCCTGCAAAATCTCTCCCTTTTTTTTTCCACTCAGAGTTCAGGTCTGGTCCTGGCTGCCCCAGGAAACTGCAGAGCCATTCAGAAACAGGAGCCAGTTGGGGCCTGAGAGGCAGCCAGGCCAGGGAGCATCTTGCTGAGCAAATTCCAAGCGGTGTCGGAGGCGGCTCACACCTCCGAGCATGAACAGAGATTTAATTGCCTTCATTATGTGCCTTACAGGGAACCGACCTTTGTTCCACACCTCCCTGAGCCCTGCAGGCTGCCTTCTATTTTAAGACTGGACTTGTCACACCCAATTCTCTTCAGCGTGATGTTTTCTGCTTGCTGAGAAGATGCAGTTTATTAAAAACTGGGTCATTTTTATTTGGCAGCTAAACGAACTTCAGGTTGAGTGCTGTCTGTATCCCCAAGGGGCACACCCTCCCTCCTCACTTGCCCCTGGATGCTAACGGGGGCTGAGTGCTCTGGAGATGAACGGCAGGTGGGGGCAGCAGGGGCTGAGGATGTGTCACTCACTCCCCTGGTTCCTGTTTTGCCCCTAGTTGCAGAGTTCCATTAATGGGGACAGGCTGAACTCTTCACAGCAGCAGGGTGCCCTGGTGTCTGCATCCCACAGCTCCTGGCTGGGACACAGCCCAGTGTGCCCTGCATGGAGCCCCAGCACAGATGGACAATTTGAGGAGTTGAAGGTTGTTGTCTGGGTCAGTTACACCAGGTCTGACAGGAGGGGTTCTGCGAGGGATCCACTCAGGCCTTTGCTGCTGACAGGGACCTGGGTCCACGCCTGGTACTGCAGCACCACGGGCGAGCATCCTCCAGGACTCCAGCCCACACAACACAGGGCTGGACAACCCCCCTCCCTTGTCCCCAGGGGTCATACCTGGTTCTCCCCGTGTCGGGATCCACGACTCTCCTTATGACGCTCTGCCTCGCGTCCCATTCCTCCTTTGTCATCGGCTTCATGGCCTGGATTCGGGATTTTTGTTCGTCTGTCAAGACTGGAAGGCAGCAGTTGGTCAGGGCTGTGCTGGTAGGGCCAGCTCCTGACCACGGGGCACAGCACCACGCCTGCCTCCCCCCAGGGCTCGGGGTCAGTGGTGAGCCACCCACAGAAGGGCCACGTCACATCCCAGAGCCACGTCCCATGGCTCCTCATGTTTACTTGGTGTGGCTCCAAGGAGGCCATGGTAAGCAGGAGGGAGGCGTGTCTGGCGCTCCTCCCTGGACACGGCCCCGTGTCCCTCAGGCACCCCGGGAAGGGTGACACTTGCTGGCTCCAGCAGGAGGGAAAACCCATTGTTACCTGGTCCAGAGTCTGCCAGCGACTCCTTCTGCCACTGCTCCAGCGAGGGGCCGGGCACCGCTTCGCCCTGGGCTTTCTCCTCCTTAGTCCCTTCCTTTGACTTCTTTTTTGATTTCTTCTTCATTCTCTTCTTCTTCTTCTTCTTCTTTTTCTTGTCTTTCTGTTTCACTTGCTTTTTTTTGCCGTGTCGACTCTTCTTTGTTTTGGAGTCACTGTCACTAGAGTCATCAGAAGAGGAGCTGGAAGAAGAGGAAGACGAGGAGGAGCTTGTGGATGACGACGCTGTCTCAGAGGAAGAGGTACTTGCCTTCCTCTTCTTTTTGTCCTTTCTTTCCTTCTTTTTCCCTGCAACACATAAGAAGAGGTTGAGCACAGTGGGGCTGCTGCTTATCTCCTGCCCACCTGGTTCCCCCCCTGCTGGACCAGCCATGGCCCCAGACGCTGCCTCGGTGACCGCCGTGCCCGGCCCACAGTGGGGCTGCAGGCTCCAGCTCCCCAGGACGAGACCAGAGTGGCTGCAGGGTGACAGAGGCCACTTTAGCCAAAAGCAGGGACCCGCTTCGCCCACCTGAGCCCCCTCTGCACACCCACCCCAAGAAACGTGGGGTCACGGGGGCCTTCCTCCTACCTTCCCCAGCTGCCGCCGAGCTCGACCTGTGCTCCTGAGACCCGGCGGTCTGCCGCGAGTCCTTGCTGCTCTTCCTCCTCCTCTTCTCCTTCCTCTCCTGCCTGCCCCGAGAATTGCTCTTGCTCCTGCTGCGTGATCTCTTCCGAGACTGGCTGTGGGCCATCGTGCCCCTGGAGGGAGCGGGTGCATCAGCGCCATGGAGGGGCCGCCCTCGCTCAGCAGCGACACTCCTGGCAGCCCCAAAAAAACCTTAAATCCAACCCTGAGCCCAGCAGCCCTGAAGAGCCGCTCCTGTTAAACTCTGCAAGGCGTGAGCCACGCTGCAGCCCCAGTGAGGAGAAGGAGCCACCCTGCCCACGCTGAACACACAGAGACCGTCACCCCGTTACTTAACGTGCCGAGAGCAGGCGCCAGCCAAGGGGAGGAATGAATTGTTAATATTCCAATTTGTTTTCAGAAAACAGATTATGCACCGAGCTGGCAGCCACGTCCATCAGTTCCTGAGGCCGAAGGCAGCACATGATATATGCTCACATTAATTTGGAAACCAAACTGGCACCGTTGGCAGAGCAGTATCTGGGAAATGCTTCCTCACAGCCCCCTTCCAAGCAGTGCATTAATTCATTGCATACTCACTGTCTCGGCTCCGCTCCCAACTGCTGAGCCCCAACCCCACCACGGCAGCACCCCGGAGCAGGGGTCTCACCTCTACCCTGCCACCGGGCTTGTGCCCCCAGCGGGGTGGCTGTTCCTGCCCACCCACCCTCCTCCAGGCCTCGGCTGGGAGCTGCCCACTCAGCCACCTGCAGCAGGCCGGCTCCCAAGGGCTCAGCACGAGGTGCGGGCCCTTTAAGAGCTCAGCACGAGATGCGCTGGCCCTTTAAGAGTGTAGAACTAGGGGTACTGATGCTTCAAGAGCTTAGCAGGCTTGTGCTGGCCCTTTAAGAGCTTAGCGAAAGGTACGCTGGCCCTTTAAGGGCTCAGCAAGAGGTGCACTGGCCCTTTAAGAGCTAAGTGAAATGCGCTGGCGCTTTCAGGATTCAGCGAGGGGTGCTCTGGCCCTTTAAGAGCTCGCGCAAGGGCCGCTGCCCCGTTCAGGACCCGGGCAAGGTGCGCTGGCCCTTGACGAGCCCAGAACGAGGCGCGCT